CATCATGTCAGCCCCCTGAACTTTCCATGACATTTCTCACCCTTGCTATTTCTATAAACCAAATTACTGGCAGATCAAGAATAAAAAAAACTTTGGTGAGTCAACAGCAACCATGCACTAGACAGTACCGCTTGGTCTAGTAAAATAAAAATAAAAAGTAAAGTGAAGATCAACTTTCCACACCTTTAGGCGTATCGGGCATACGGGAAGAACGCCCATATTTTTACAGACCATCAGCACTCGGTGGGTAATGTGGTCAGCATTACGCCTGCTGTCTTTACTTTCCCAGGACAGCCCATCCTGGTACCCATTCTAGGCTGGGTCGACCTGCGACGCCCCACACCACGATAAAAATCCACGCAGCCCGCAGTGGGTTTCGATCGTGGTACGTTGAATTACAAGTCGGACACACAACACCTTAGCCACGGACGCCGCCTAGTAAAATAAGGCATGAGAATTAAATAAGTCGAAGCAAATAAATTAGATTATGTAGTACGCACCTGATGAGATAAAGTGAAATATGTCAGGCAATAAATAAATAAACTGTAGAATCTGTTGTTTGTGTTTTCTTTGTTCCAGTTAACAAACCTTTACAAGCAGACCCCAAAACCGCTGTGAATTGAAAAATGCCTCATTCCAAGAAATGTAAACTCCACTTAGCCGATCAACGTAAGAAATCTCAAAGTCTAAACTTGGCAAGTGCTCGTAAGCAAAGAGAGGTCTACCAGAGCGTCGTAAACATGATAGAAAATAAGGGCTGCGACTCAGCTTACTTGCTTGTTCCTAGCATCACTGCAATTTTGACAGTGATTGTTTATGCACCACCGTGTTCTAATTCTTCTCAAAGTTCTGGAAGTAAAATTTTTCTAGCAGAAAAAAACAGAAGCCAGATTAAAAGGGAAAGGTATAAATAAATGACCTTCTCTGGCAACAAGTATGATTCTAAAGACAACAGTAGATTAAAAGGGAAAGGTATGAATAAATGACCTTCTCTGGCAACAAGTATGATGCTGAAGACAACAGTAGATTAAAAGGGAAAGGTATGAATAAATGACCTTCTCTGGCAACAAGTATGATGCTGAAGACAACAGTAGATTAAAAGGGAAAGGTATGAATAAATGACCTTCTCTGGCAACAAGTATGATGCTGAAGACAACAGTAGATTAAAAGGGAAAGGTATGAATAAATGACCTTCTCTGGCAACAAGTATGATGCTGAAGACAACAGTGGATTAAAAGGGAAAGGTATGAATAAATGACCTTCTCTGGCAACAAGTATGATGCTGAAGACAACAGTAGATTAAAAGGGAAAGGTATGAATAAATGACCTTCTCTGGCAACAAGTATGATTCTGAAGACAACAGTGGATTAAAAGGGAAAGGTATGAATAAATGACCTTCTCTGGCAACAAGTATGATTCTGAAGACAACAGTAGATTAAAAGGGAAAGGTATGAATAAATGACCTTCTCTGGCAACAAGTATGATTCTGAAGACGACAGTAGATTAAAAGGGAAAGGTATGAATAAATGACCTTCTCTGGCAACAAGTATGATTCTAAAGACGACAGTGGATTTAAAAAAAAAAATTGCAAAGCAGATGAGTGTTTAACTTTTCTGAAATTGGTGAAATCATCAAAACGTTGTGTTGTCCAGTACGTAAAAATACTAGTTCTTATTTTGAAAACTGATAGCAAGAAAACTAAGGGATTCGCTGTGCATGCAGAAGTTTACTGCTGTTCTGCCAGTCTATTTATTCTGCATGAGTTTGTGGAATGGGTGCAACAACGCTGAATAATTCTTGTGAAAAAAATGAATCTGCAATGTCTTCATCACAAAATATTTTACAACAAAGCGAAAAAACTATATTTAAAGAAGATCTGGAGGACATAGTTTTCTCTCAAACTGTGAAGTAGGTTCGGCAAGTTCACACAAAGCAGTCAGGCATCATTTTAAATGACACTGATGTTCTAGATATTACTGTCAGCTTTGATGGCATTTGGCTGACTAGAGGCCACACATCCACTGTGCAGTGTTTGTCCTTAAAGGAAATTGCACAGATGTGTGTAATGAGGTTATAAAAAGGGATAACGTCAGAGTATGACTGACTGAAGGAACTGGGGAAGTCCCTTAAGTGAGAGTCAGGGGTTTCACGGGGAAACGAGAGATCTGGGGGATTGCTGACGAAGTCAACATTTAGCAACAGGACCCCAGAGAGTTACGAATGGAAGTGAATCCTAAGTAAAGTGGTTGTGGCAATTCTAAGTTGAAACATATCCGAGGACAATGTCAGCTTGTGTCGATTGTGTGTAGCTCAGCATCAAATGTGGTGTGGCTGTGTACCCAAAGGTGAAAGCAAATGATTCTTAACTGGAGAGCATGTTAGATTGTCATATTAATTCTTGTTGTATATTAGATATGGAATAAACCTGGAACTGGTCATCGTCGACTATCATATGGAGTTGTGTGATCATTGATGGAAGATAGTCTGCCTCGTCTATTCTACATTAGTGACCCCTAGACAATGATCTGAGTCGAATGAGTACAAGTGGAAGCAAGTATGAGAGAGACCCAGGAAAATAAAGGAGGCACTTCTTTATAAGAACATGTTTATGATAGGAAAGAAAGTGTGACTTCTTTACCATGTACATGTTATGTCCACATATTGTCATGGAAGGCAGACTATCTTTCAAACTGTGGAAACAGTTTCACAGCAGGATCTGTTGGAATGATGGAGGTGGAGGCTGCATGAGTGCTGTGGCAGCGGTCTGTGGCCCATCATATGGTTGGCTAAACATCAATTTTGTCTGATGGCGATGACAAAACATTTGCGGAGCTTACCAAGATCAAACCACATGAGAAACATAACATAGACAATGAAGAGTGTATCAACAGCACTCCATAATGTTGTTGCTGACTGCTGCAAGCAAGGCGTGACCTCATGTGGATGTGGTAAAGGTCAGCTAACAAAAAAATGCCATCCGTAAGATAACAATTTATTACAATAGAGCAATAAGGAACAATTCTAGTGTAGAGTCCATGTAGTTGGTGGTCTCTAATGGTGTCATAAGGTGACAACAACATCGAATTTTATGTCTCTATTCGTTAGGTAGCGCTAGGTGTTGTGTGCGTATTTGCAACATAGAAACAAAATCGTGACTGCACTTATGGAATGTACCCTCAAAGAACAATACGCTGTTGTGTGGCTTGGGGTGGGGGGCAAAAGGGCTGCATGCAAGGGACATTCATAAGGAAATGCTTCCTGTTTACACTGACAAATGTTCATCGTGTAAAGTGGTGCATAGTTGGGTCAACACAATTTTTGTTTCTTGAAGATGCTCTATGATTGTTGATGAAGTCCGATCTGGTCGTCCTGTTGAGACGGCAAAAGACGCATCTGTGCAGCGGGTGGAGGAGATGATTAGAGGTGACAGGCGAGTAACGGTTGACTCTGTACCAGCTGCAATAGGGTACTCACATGGCTCAGCATACAACATAATGTACGATCAATTGAAATTTAAGAAAGTGTGCTAAAGGTGGGTACCCAGACAATTGATGGACGAACACAAAATTAACTGATCTAGCCTGTCCTTGCAGCATCTTTGTCGATAGGTAGATAAAGCAGAAGACATGCCGAACAGGATTATTACTGGGGACGAATCATGTGTGCATCACTACCAGCCCGAATCGAAGCCTACTTCAATGCAAAAGAAACATCCTAACTCAATGTTAGAAGACAACCCCACAGTGCTGACAGTAAACTGTTGACAAACTGTGTATAGTGATCTCCCATGCCGGTGATGAATCTTTCATCATGGCGTCAAATTCTCTGAGCCATCGCGGTCGTAATATTTTTTTTTATATTTCTGGTGTTAATTTTTATGAACTGCCATCAAAAACATAGTCAAAACAGGAAGATGGTGTGTCACTGACAGCAGCGGTGTGGCAGTCGGAGGTAGGTGTATTATGGTACATTTGTCTGTGTCAACTGTTTCATGTATGTGCTTCAAGTACGTATGGTTAGATGTGTCTGTTAGTGGATGTGTCTGTACATTATGGCTCTGTAGCTAACAGATGAGTGAAAATCATTTCGCAATGCAGTCCTCAATGTTTAACAGGTTATAAGTCACACAATGTACATTTTGATTTTGGAAAAAAAATTATTCTCAGTGGCTTTTTGAGTTTAACAGTTCAGTTATATTGTTTCAGAGATTCTTTTACAAAATGGCAAAAAAACACTAAATTTTGCAGAATTTTATTTCAGTTAGTCAGAGCTCTCATACAGGATTATTTCAGGGAAAAAAGTTATACTAGTTTCAGACAGAAGATTTTTCAGCTGCCTTTTTTTTGCACCAATGTACAGCCACATGATGATGACAATGCCAAAGAAGATTACAGTTTCTGTTCCAAAAATTTTTTCTCAGTTGCGGAAAAAAAATATTATGAGCTTATGTTAAATAGTTGTGTAGCTACGGCATTTTTGTAGTATGTGGGAAAGTGCAAGAGTTAACAGGCTTGATAGTCAGTGGGTAAATGAAATTTTGAAGAAGAAAAGTTAAAGAGTTTTTTAAAAAAGATTCTTACGTGGCAAAAGGGTTAATTGACAGTAAAGACTGGTACAGCCAGGCAAGTGAGGCGCACCAAACGCACATTAAGTCTTGTTAGCCAACATAGGACTGAACTATTGGCTGCGGTATGCTGATGTATATGTTGAAAGGAGAAACTGAGCACCTATGGATGTGCCCAGAGTGCCGTGAATATAATCCAACTCACAACTTCTTTCATCCTGTGGGTTCCAATGCGTGGACATTCTAATTATACTGCTATCAGTTTTGTGTGTGAGTGTGTGTGTGTGTGAGTGGTAAATCTGTCCTACCAATGCCAGCAGCATTCTCTCAGCTCCTGATTCACTGGAATTTCTTTACAACCACTGCAGTTAACCTATTCAGGGGATGCAATAAACGAGAAATAAATTGGTGTAAATCCAAAAGTTATATCCCTTACCTCCGCTATCGCAATACATTTGAGAAAGGCCTGAGCTTCTGCATCGCAAGCTGCTTGACTGAAATCTGTTCTTTTCCAGCAATCCATCATGCTTGACATCTCATTAACACAGGCGCCAGCTGTAGAGTTAAGAGAAGAACACGGTATGTAATTCAAGACATCTGCTGCAGTATAAAATGTCTTTCTCTAAAGTACTGGGGAGCATAGACGTAGGACGTAGGAGACTGACATCCATCCCTATCCTAATAAGTCATCTCCTTGTGGGATGCAATTGTTTTGTTTTTTTTAAGCCCCCACCCTGGTTGTTGCCAGGGGGGCCCTAATATAACCTAACAGTTGAACAGGGTTTTCTGGGACCTCTCCACGGGTGATCCTCATCCGCATGGTGGCATTTTGTGTCACTGGGTATTGATCGCTCTGTGTGATGTCCTGGTGTGGTACAACTTACTTACTCCACCCATATTTACAAGACTAAATTAAGAAAAATAACTATTATACGTGCATATATTGAACTTTTGTGTTTTATATCCAATTTTCAGAACATGTTTCAATGCAAACAGTGTTGAAAATATATACATTCAACTTATGAACAGTTTGACTTACGACCTCTTAGAATGGAACTCGGTCGTCCCTCAAAGAGATGCTGCACTATCTCATACTTATCTACAAGTGTAGGATGGCTTAGTGTTCTTATTCACTTAGGACTGCAGGGTAGACCTGACTGTTGTGGCTATTACAGGTGCCCCAGTTATAACTTCTTTGGGGGTTTAACAGGGTACCTGGCATCTTCCTTGTTGCCTTGCTACCCAGATTGAGATTTTGTCATCTCAGGGTGGTCACGGGCGAGGAGCATTATCTGGATGTTTTCTCCGGGGCATGCCAGTGTGTTGGGAAATAAGCAGGCGAACAGATTGGCAGGATTTGCACAACTTTGTGGAATACTGATGCATGATAAAGCAGACGTGGCTAGGGCCTTGTGGGAGAACATGTACTATTCGGAGGAGCAAATTGATCACCATGGTCTGGTGAGAGTGATGCAGCGGGGAGTGACAAAGGGATCTGGCCGATACTCAATGCTCAGAGGAAAGGCAAGACAGACGTATAATCAGAATGATACTGGCACCACTGGTACTGGAACTCTGCACTGGCTCATGAAGATGGAGACGGAGCGCTTACTGGAATGCCCCGAGTGCTGTCATGTCGGTTCTTGAATCAATTCAACTTAGGCTGATCAAACCTTCAGGTATTTAAAAAAAAACTAGGGGTGACTGCAATCAAGCTAGTATCAGGAAATTACAATAGTAAGTAAATAAGTAAAGTAAAGATCCCCTTTCCACATCTTTAGGCGTATTGGGAATATAGGGCTAGACCTATATATTTATAGACCAATCGGCACTTGGTGGGTCAGCATCACATCAGCCGCCTTTACTTCCCAGGACTGCATCTGGTACCCACTCAAGGCTGGGTCGACCTGGAAGACAAGGTCATTTTTGAAAAAAAGACAAGACGCGAACCCCTAATATTCCGATCTGCAGACTGGCGTCTAGCCACCAATGCCACTGCGACTCCTATAAGTCTATAAGTGAGTCATAAATGGTTGAAATTTTTTTCTTTTTTTAAACCTAAAGATGATAACAACTTGAACACCATTTATTTTTACACATAGACTGTCCCTTTATTTTTCAACATAATTTCCACCGACACTATGCATCTGTCCTGTCGTTTTATCAGTCCTCCCAAACGTGCTGCATAGAACTGCATGCTCTGTTTTCTAAACCACTTTTTTATCTCACATTCAATGTCTGCGTCATTCATGAAATTTCTCCAGCCAAGTTGGGTTTTCAGTGGACTAAAAATTATGTGAGCATCCTACTGCAGCTGCAACAGAGTTTAACAACTGCTACCTGTTACACTATACTGAGAAAGTTATGACTGGTTTATAAAAAATGCCGCCCTTCCACCCTTCATGATGGGATAACCCTGACTGAACTTATTTGCTCCATTTGTCCAGATTAAAAATGTAAAATATTTGTTTATTACCCTATATGATATTTTAAATGTCATTTATCTGTTTAATACCACTTACCACATATAACAGGTCAAAACTTGTTTATTACCCTATATGATATTATATATGAAGCCTGTCCTTCAAGGATCATGTGGATGCAGTTGCAGTGAAATGCCAAAAAAGGACTCAAGATTATGGCAGCAATGGACATGGAACAGAGAATGTTCTTCACAATGTTCCAGCATGTGATACTGACGGTGATAGATTATGGACTTGGCATGCTTACTATATCAAAAAGTCACCTGATGAAACTTGAACGCATACAGAATGAAGCCATCGGGTGATTCTGGGATGTACAAGAGATACCCTGGTAGTATGTATGCGATATATACTTGCATTGCCTACTATTGCAGATAGGCTCCAAGTTCTGCAAGCAAAGTCATATCTCAGAGTAGCTGCGGACAAGAGGCACCTCCTGCATGAAGCCCTGGAAAGAGCTAGGGGTCACAGACTAAAAAGAGGAAGGTCTTGGATGGCGCAAGCTGAAGACACTATTGGACCTGTGCGCAAGCTTGATAAATTTGGGCGAGGAGAGGAGTGGGTCAAAGTGTCCGATCATGTTTCAGACTTGTGTAGGGTTCTAATCACTTTGGAACGTGAGTGCAGGGACTGGCCAGCTGGTGCTGCAGAATCAGAATTTCAACAAACGATTCATGACAATTCCTGCCCAAGTGATGTGATTGTATATACAGATGGCTCTGTGGTGAGGGGCAGACGTCGCTTGGCCCAAAAAGCCTGGAGTATAATATCACAACGTCTAGTTAGAGAATGGAGGTGGAGGCAGTCACTGCTGCCTTCTGTTGGCTTGAGAATCAGCTGTACACACATCTCGTCATTGTAACTGACTCAGAGCATGCTGAGAAAGGTGGAGACAGGCATGCTCCGTGCAGAGTGGCAAGCATCACTTCAGAGGTCCCAGGTAGTTAGCATCCTTTGGATATTTTCTCCAGGTCAAGCCGGTGTGTTGGGAAGTGAGCAGGCGGATAAACTGGCCGGTTCTGCACCACTTGGCGGTGAACTGAAATATGACAAGCTGGATGTTGTGAGGGCCTTTTGGGAGGAAATGAACAGTGCTGAGGAACAGTTAGATCATTACGGTCTGAGGAGAATGGCACTGCAAGGAATTACAAGGGGATCTGGCCGGTGCTTGACACTCAGGGGAGGGGCGAGACGGATATACAGTCAGACTGTTACTGGTACCATCGGAATTTTAACTCTTTGCTTGCTGCTACAGATGGAGACGGAGCGCTTACGGGAGTGTCCCAAGTGCTGTGATCTCGATTCTTAATTCAAAACATTATAAATGTCACATTTCTGGTTACTAGCACACATATCAATAACATTTTAGAAAAAAAAAAAACTTGCTAATAATTAACAGTTGGTAATCAGGTCGATGTGGTTCCAACTTTAAACAGGTCACTTCACACTTGCTCTGTTCCGGTGTCAACAAAAACCACAGAATGCCCACTACTGTTCCTTGTGGGACAAAAATTGACACAGGCTGCAACGCCAGTAACATATACGCTCATTATATGCAGACCCCCGTGTGGGTTCCGGGGTCCTATCATAGGGAAAACAAGAATAGACCCACTGCTTACCCAAAAGCATGTTGTAAGAGTCGACTAATTGGGAGCTTCCTTCGAAGTCAGAGTGCATCTGCCTGAGAGGCAAGGAACCAACAGTCTGCACATAAATGTCAGATCTGTCAAACAGATGCACACGCAACACTCAGGTTCTGGAACAGGACTGCAGTCCAGAAGATGATGAACAACCAGAACTTTCCACTAGAGCTTACAGCTGGTGTTCGTGAAGAAGAAGATTACATACAGAATGCAGCACCAGAAGTGCCAACACACTCCGGCACTAGAAATTCTGTTCTTCGTCGATAGAAGCAGCAGTTACAACAGATCAGTAGTTGCACATGCAATTTATCAAATAGGGCACCACCAGTTCTCAGGCAACAGGCCACTTGTCATTTTCTGAATTCACAGTTCACAGTACAAACAACACTGGGCGCAGCTGAAAAGCATTTCAAATGAAATCCACAGCTCAGTGTCATGCCAAGCACTCAGTTCAGTAGCTGGGTGATGGAATTTTATCCTTTCAGTCTATATATGGAGAAAAATGCAATGTCTAGCTATCAGAAGCAAAAAACTTGATATGACTACAAACACTAAGCCTGTCTATCCACCATATTCACCAGAGGTTTGGATGCAGAGGCACACCAAAACCAGAGCTCAATTCGGTCTTTACCAAGCCACATCTTCATGAGGTCAGCCTAAAAACAGGTTTACAATTAGAAAATGTTCTGGGAACTAAAGACAGAGGGCATCATATGACCCACATCACTTATCGAATGCTGTTTGGTCTATACAAATATGAAATAGGCACCATGTGCATCAAGGTATGTTAATGGTTTATTTATTTTATGTTTTGATCACAAAAATGTTTACCTTTAGGTTGCTCTTTCCTGACCCGTACTTCATCTTTCAGTGCTGGTATTCGCACAACTTTATATTTGTAGCCAGGATTTTTGTAGTTTGTAAACTTTTTTAAAGGAGCAGTGACTAATACTGCGTCTGTCAACCTCATCTTACCAGAGAGGAAAAGCTGAAACAAGAAAGCAATGAAAAATAATATTAATATCACCCCTGAATAATTTTTCATAGTGTGATTTACATAAATGTAGCTTTCCGGGATAATCTATTGCTCTCTTCTTCTTTGGTCACACAATGAGTTCCTTAAGCACAGTGCATGGACTTCAAAGCAAAAACAAGATTCTCAAAGTGTGTACAGGAATCACACATTACAGAACCAATGTGGATCCAGGGGCTCTATTTTTGGTGAATAAGAAGAGATCCACTGCGCCAAAAAAACAAAAAGTGAATTAAGAGGTGAAGAAAAGATGCTGGTGTTGGATAGGACACATGTTAAGAAAACCTGACAAAAATATAAATTGAATGCCCTTGCATTGGAACCCACAGTGGCACAGAAATAAAAGCAGACTAAAGAGCACAGGGAGAAGGAAACTAGTGGTTAGAGGGTGAAGTTAAAAGGATGGGAAGGACATGGGGTTAACTGCATGTGATAGCAAAAGATAGAAGGATTTGATGTGTGTTGGTTGAGGGCTTATGCTCCACTAGAAGATGAAGAAACAGCAACTCTTTGATTTAAAAAAAGTCTGAGCAACTTACTTAGACAGTAGTAGTTTCCCTTATTTGATTCCCGTAGGTTTTGTTTGCAATGAGAAAATAGTCAAAATTACCAGTATGTGACTACCTTGTTTTGAATTATCTATGAGGTCCACAATAAATGGGCCTGACGTGGTGACCATAATACGTCTCAAATAATTGTTCTATAAGTAAAGATAATGGATGAAGTATAGAAGAGTCTGAGTAGAGTATGCCAAATGTACCAGTACTTTGTGTACTTTAAGTACTTATTAATTTGGGAATGTCACATTCGATCTGGCATTCATTCATAATTTACCCAATTAAACTTAAACATAAAATCAAACGTGCTGAGCCAAAAAGTGCAGATGTCGTTGTAATAGTATTAACCAGGGCTATTCAACTGGTACACATCTGGCCCGCGGATCATGGCCATGTTATTCATAATCATTCTTTGCTAGGGCTCGAGTCTCTAGCCCGTGTGACGATCTTTACTTTCACACTTTTAGCCACTCGATAAACGTAGTTGGTTAACCTAACCCTGGTGTAAACCAAAACAAACGTGTCAACTATGCAAGAAGGCAAAAGAAGAAGAAGAGATACAACTTTACAGTTACTACTTAAGTACTTTAGTTCTTTATAGTTTATAAAATATAAATATAAGAAGTTTAAGTAGAAGTAAAGAAAGTCTTGTCAAAGAAAACGTATATAACGTTAGGCCCTATGGCTTTCAAGTCGGACTCTCGTACCTTTAAAATGCAACGAAAGTTATCGCTCTATATCTATTCCAAATAAAGCTGAATCTCGAGATCTGACAAGAACTGGCTTCTTGTCCCAGTGATCAGGAATCTGAACTTCAGTTTTGCAAATCTTTGACTTTCATGTTGAAAGAACCGGACGCAAGACTTATTTCTAGATTACTAAAAAGTGGAATTCTGTTGTCGTAAATTGTATTACCAAAAAGGACAAAATGTCTTGTAATTTTACTCTTACATAGCTTTGTAGTAGCATTACATATATTTGTACCTTTCTTTTTATTATTTAAAGCATTTCCAAAATGACTGCAAATGACATTTACACACACACACACACACATATATATATATATATATATATGCATATCCTAAGCAATAATTGTCGCAAAACACAGTAGACATGAATTTAATGGATTGTCTACCTTTGAAAGCAATATTTTATGACATGTACATAAATTTAACAATTAAAAAGTGGCAGCGAACGTGCACTGGATCGCAAATTATTCCTCCCCACGCGGCTTAACGGCAGAAGTGGTTTATGATGATGATGATGACATAAATTTAAGTATCTACGCACATGGATAACATCCGATGAAAGATGTATAATAGAAATAAGGAATACAATAGGGCAGGCCAAAATTGCATTTTATGAAATAAAGAACATTTTGTGCAGTAAATTCATGTCATTGGAGGTTAGGAAAGGAATTCTCGCATGCTATATAGAACGAGTTTAACATACGGTTGTGAAACCTGGACAATTAATAAACATGCCGAACAATATTTTGAGGCCTCAGAGATGTGGTTTTACAACAACAACAAAATTCTTTGAATTGTTTTTAAAAAAAAATCCTTAGAATTCCTTGGACAGCTAAGAAGAGCAACCCAGATTTTGAAAGTGGCGAATGTTCGTATACAATTTATCACAAACATCAGAAAGAGTCATCATTTTTTTGGTCATGTTGTGTGAGTCATACCTAGGTAGCAGTATGTGTCCTCGCTCGGAGATAGTTTGATTGCAGGCTGGTATGAGCGATTTACTTATCGTGTGGTATGGTGACGCTGAACGTACATGTTGATATGTTTCGATTTGTGCCATCACTGATGTAATTTTTCGGAACGTATGAGTTCATTATTCTGGTTCCTTGAGGCTGTGTGAGTAGCATATGGTCTGGTCGATCATGTGGATGGTTGTTAATGAATTGTCATTTGTGAATCACGTGAGTTCTGTGTTCAGTAAAATAAGCAGATGTTTAATGTGATAATTATAGTTCTAGTTTTTTTTATTCGGATTAGAACTTGTAGTTTATGTGGCTAGTTTTACTGTTACTGCTGATTAGACTTCATACAGAATATAACATATAAGGGCTAAAACACTGCTGGTCTTAGTCCCCCTAAGGAACTCCCCCCCCCCCCCCCCCCCTTTTTTTTTTTCCTTGTTACTGAGGCAGCTTGAATATGGGTTGGTTTCCACTCACTACGACAATACTTGGTGGAGCTCTTGTAGGCTTGGAGTAGAGATAGGTTCAAGGAGTAGATTTGTATAGTATCATTTATAGTTATCTCCTCCATTTCTTCCCCTTAGGCTTTGCTTCTAGTACATATGTAAACAGGGAGAGAGGGAGAGACTGCGGTCCAGCTTACAAGATGTACTAAATACAACATAAAATTTGACTCAGAGGCTTGACGGACAGAATTCTTCTTCTTCTTTTTTCGTTCGCATGAAATAAATTGTCTATATCTGCAAAGCCGTCTCTTGTATGAATTTCACTGTCTTTTGTAATTCACTAAGCGGCCCGTAAAGTTTGACTTCCACAAGTGTCTCTTTTGGCCAAATGTTTTGCCTGAAAGCGTTGAATATGGGACAGTCTTGAAGGATGTGATCTGTTGTTTCAGGTGCCAGTCCACAAGTACACATGGCCGATTGGCCAATCTTAAATTTGTTGTACATGTGGGAGCGAAGTCTATTGTGCCCTGTTCTAAGGCGAAGGATAATAACTTGCTCTGGTCTGTCCATAATATGGTAATCATCTTGTGCCAGTTTCGGTGGCATTCTGATTGATTTGATCATTCTCTTCTTCTGTTGATAAGAGACTGGTATGTCAGGTTGTTCTTCAGTTGCACCTTCCTTAGCTAGTTTATCAGCTTTTTCGTTTCCGGGAACTCCACAGTGGGAAGGCATCCACTGCATTACTAATTTACAGCAGTTGCCTAGTTCGGATAATAGTGTCCGTATGCTTGGTAATTTTCCAGACTGGAGTGACTGAAGTACTGCTTTTGCATCTGTCAGGAATACCATTGGTTGTGAAAAATACCCTGTATTTAGTAGTTTCTCTACCGCTATCTTGATGGCTTGAACTTCTGCATCATAGTTGTGACAGTGCTTTCCCGTTGGTAATTTGGCTGTATCCCTGGTATTATTAGGATACTCAATGTACACTCCCGCACCTCCGTTTCTGACTGCGCTTTCTGCTGACCCATCTGTGTAAACACGGACCCAAAGGTTCTGCGGGTATTCATCATCAAGTAAACTGAGGGTGGCTGTTTTGCGCTGCACACTGTTTTGTTCTTCCTTGTCAAATACCCCTTTCACTTCAGTCTTGATGTGTATTGGAAACTTATACCCTCTCTCCAAGGGGTCCGTTCTGGGACAGCATTTAAGGATCTATCAGTTGCAGGTAAATCAGTGGTTTGTCTGCCGAGCCGTTTGGCCTGGTGGATAAAACTACTTCTCTTTAGTCGTCCCAAAGCTAAATTTTTGAATCTTTCATTCATAGGGTGACTGGGCATACTAAGAAACTTTTCTGCTTGTAAAAGCATCTTGGTGTCTCTGCGTTCACTTAGTGCTTGGGTCATCCCCATTTTCTCCATCACAGCTATAGGTGTTGATTTCATACTGCCTGTGGTAACTCTGAGTGCTTGATTTTGCACTTTGTCTAATTCTTGCAATGTGGTTTTTGATGCCGAACTCCATGCTGTTGATCCGTATTCAAGATGTGGTCGAACACTTTGTTGGTAAACTTTTCTAAGTATTTTCCCGCTAGCACCCCATGTGGTTCCACTTAGTTTTCTCAGAATGGCTACCCTCCTTCTGGCTTTGGTTGCTGCCTTGTTGATGTGTTTTCTCCATGTTAATCTATCATCAAACGTTACGCCGAGGTATGTGGGCTCCTTATCCTCTCTCAGGGGTACTCCATTTATGTGCATGGCGCCTGATTTTTGTTTAGGAGAAAGGGTAAAGAGAGTGGTGCTGCATTTGCCTATGTTGATGCTGACACACCATTTGTCGGCCCATTTAGCCATTGCATCTATGGCTCTTTGTAGCAGTCTGGTGGCCACTGTCGCATTTTCATTTGTACACCAGAGTACCAAGTCATCAGCATACATTGCAGCTTTAATTCCATGGGGTAGTTCAGAAAGCAGGTCGTTGATATAGACTAGGAAGAGTGTGGGGGACAGGACACCTCCTTGTGGGACGCCATGGCGCAGCAAAACTTTCTTGCTCTTAAGTCCATCTATCTGTACTCGGGATCTTCTGTTATACAAGTATGCTTTGACTCATTTGTACATACTCCCATTCACCCTGCAGTCTCTCAGTTTCTTCAGTAGACCTTTTTTCCAGACCTTGTCAAAGGCTTTCTTCAGATCTATCCATGCCGTTAGCACTAGC